CCAAACAGCTGATCGAGTGCCGTGTTGTTGTCGGCGAGCGACTGCTGGGGGATATACACTGCTGTTATCACAACAGATGTGAATTCCCTCAGCAGGTAAAAAGCCCGGCATGTGATCATAAGGTGCTCTAAGTTAGCCGAACAGTCCGAAGAGATAATCTTCACATCTGTGCACCAGTTGTTATTAGTCATTACACACACACACCGCCTCCCTTACTTTTCCCCGAGTTAGCAGTCCGGTCCTGGCGAATAATAGTAAATCCATCAGGAGCAATGGCGGAGTCTGGTATGGCAGGGTTGAGCCAAGTCTCAGTGAGAATTAACACGTTACAGTTTTTAATGTCCCGTTGAAAAGCAATCCGACTTCTGAGTTCATCTAGCTTATTTTCAATGGATTGAACATTAGCTAGAAGAATACTTGGAAGAGGGGGTCGGTTCTCCCGTTTCCTCAGTTTGACCAGCAGCCCGGCCCGGCACCCTCGCGTTGTCTTCTTCTTCTTCTTCTTGCGTCTCTCAGGTAGCCATGGCGAATCTCCATTGTCTGTCGGAGGGTTTTTATTGTCCACGAAGTTTCCAATGTAAAGAAGTTCCTCTCTGCTATATTGTATGGCAGAGTAGGTGCGGTCAGCTTGCGTATTGCAAACCATGTTAAAAGTAAAACGGCAAAAGTAAAATAAATACACACAAAATACGAAAAGGGGCAAAATTGGAGAGGAGCCGTAAAACGATGCGGCCATCTTCACCGGCGCATTCTTAACCCTCCTTTATCTTCACATTTGCTTAACACCCTCTATCCTTGGTGGTAATTTTGACCCCAGTAGTTTAAAGCTCAAGAAAATGATCATATTCAAAATTGTTACCAAAATGTACGTTTCAAGTACTTTATGTTTCTTAGTTGACTATCTAAATATCCATTTAAATAAAACACTACTAGCCATTTTCATTACATTAGCAGCACTAAACGTACCCTGTTTTTCACGTGGGGAGCGGGACCAAGATAACTTTCAATTTTTGGAAAGTTGTTACGGTTATCCGAGAGGACCCAAACGCAGGACACGGCAGAGTGTTGAAAAAAGGTTTATTTTGAGGTGGAGGAGCGTGGAGAATAATCCGGCTGGTGGCGGCTGTTGAGGTGGAGGAGCGTGGAGAATAATCCGGCTGGTGGCGGCTGTTGAGGTGGAGGAGCGTGGAGAATAATCCGGCTGGAGAGTGATCCTGGAGCACAAGAAGAACAGGTAAGAAGAACATTCAGGTTTAGAGGAAATAGCTAATAATGCTAAGAAGGCTGAGAAGGCTGAGAAGGCTGAGAGTTTTACCACTGGGGTTAAACAACGATTGCAGCAGGCAGGTGGAGGTTGAGCCGGGAGCCGGGAGCCAGGAATGCCAGCCACCACGCCCACACAGACAGGGACAGGGAAAACACACACAGGGGAGGTGGCTGGAGAGTACAACCACCACAGAAAGTAATCTCTGAAAATACAAAATAAAAGTATTTTATAGTCTTTACGCTAGTAGTCTAACTACTGAGTCCAACATGATCAGTCTTCGAACTTGAAAGTATTTGTATTGCTCGTCACATATAGCAGCAAGACAGGCACCATGGAGGGGACTTTGACAGGAGAGTATCAAGAAGTACACAGTAAAAGTATTTCATAGTATTTGGGATAGTTACTTGTAACTACAACTGATTACAACTTCATCAGTCTTATGAAAAACGTATGGCCAAAAATAATGGCTCATCAAAGATAGCAGAAGCTTGTCATTTTTGCACTGTGTAAAGGCAAAGAGTTAGAACCTTTATTTTGAAGAGTACAGCGCAAGCATAAGGCAAACTAGCCAATCAGAAGCAAGGAGGCACTGGAGACCCACCCACCTATGGATACGAAACATTGAGTGGTATACTTGTTTTAACAGTAAGAACAGAAAAACGAAAAAACGAGCTGAATTGCCGTTTTTCCGTTTTGGGGCAAAATTGAAAAACAAAAAACGACCCGTTTCTGGAGTTTCTTTTGTTTCAATTAGAACTAAAAAACAAACGGTTAAAACGTACCTTCGTCGTGGAGGTATACACATATTGATAGATCTCTTGTTGAGGAACCTATGACCCAAGTTTGTCATCATTGCATAACTACACCGTAGTTGTGTATATGATATTTCAATAAACCTTTGAAAATCTTGAAATCTTGAAAGGGATGTGCAAAATAGCCATTATATACAGTTTTTGATGAACAATTAGAGAATAACGAGTAATGAATATGCTTTATAGGGATCTGCAGATACATTTGTTGTCTTCTCAAGCACCAACTATCTAATATCTCGCCTGATTGTTTGCACTTGACAATCACCTTCACTGAATTCAATCACAGAGCTTGAGAACTAATCACGGGGTTTGTCAAACAGAGCACATGGTGTAGTCCTAAATGATAGCTGGGGATTCTGGGTAGTGTAGTGTCTTCTGCCAAACCTAAACTCCGAAAAAATATTTGTTTCTCCGAATCGAAGGGGAAACATACAAAAGCATTGCACACAATTTAAACCAATCAATGTTTTTTAGTTGACGAGTAGTGCAGATATCACTGTCAAATCAATCGACAGTAAGGGGAATACTTACTTCCGGGTGTACAATTCTCCGTTATCCAATGGGAATGGATGCTCACATTGCCTTTAAATGCTGCCGACATAAACTAATGCCGAGCTTCCATGAGCGTCAAATCCCGCCGCAGATGGGAATACATTGCAATCAGTTTTCAATCAGCTATTTGCGTCCCTTTATGAAGCTGAAGGAGAGGACCGTCCCAACTGCACGCCTCGGGACCCTGACCAAGCGTCGCTCCTGGACATTAATGGAGTGAGAGTGTGTTGGTCAATAAGGATCAGGATTAGTTAGAAAATATTTAACCAACTGACAAGTTTAAATTCCAAAATGGATGTAAATCCAGCAGCAGGATGTCTACCATGTCTTATCAATGTTTTATTTTAAATCATCCTCACTCCTTCCTGGAAGAAAGGAGTTGCATGTGCAGTGCTGAAAAGTACACAAACAACAATAATTTAAACAATTGGTCTAGAAATCCAAACTGAAGCCCCATAAAGGTAAAAATAAAAAACAGTGGAGATGTGAAATGTTAAAAATAAGGAACATGCTTCTGTAGCTTGTTGACATGCAACAAAGCTGGTGCTTATTACAAATGTGGACACTTGAATTAAAATGTCCACTGTGTGATATGCTCATGCCATTAGTGTGTCGCTAAGAAACAAGTCAAACAGGTGTCAAACAAAGCGAAAGGCAGAAGAAACGATACGCACTCACAACAACCTCCAGATCAGAGTCTGCTGATTTACCTTTTTTCCAAGCATGAGTGGTAAGTTAAGGTTACTTATTCTATAAATAATATTAATATTATAATAATGTTTTCACAAGTTTGGGTCCATGTTACATCCCGGCTCGTGGAAAGTGGAAAATAACATATAACCAGTTGGAATTGGTAAATTGGAAGTTGTTTATTGAGAGTGCTCAATAAAGTTGGCAACAAGACAGCCACAATCAAACCAAAAGGCCACAAAGGCACCAGTTTAAACAAACAACAAAATAACTAACAACAAAATAACCTAAAGAAAACCTCACTTCTAAAGTGGGATAAAAAGAACAAGGCTAACAAAAATAGACAGTCACCTAAACACAGCCTGGGTACAAGTGAACCACAGTTAACGTTGTATTACAAGATAAACAGAGTTACAAGAACACATACACAAACAACTGAGTTAACCACTGTTAACGGGCTATCACATGAATGTACTGAGAGAGTACCGAGAGACGTCTGCCACAGATTCAGACCTCTCCCGACTAACTGAGGTGCACACATTCTTGTAGTTTTCCCTGGAAGGTGTGTGTGGGGATTGGAGAGTCGGGCCCGGCATGCTCCAATCCAGATCTTCGGTGTTGCCTACCGGGGGAGGGACAGGAAGCCGGCATCACACAGCGACACACAGCGGCAAACACTTACAGAAAGGTTAATGGGCAGATAGAAGGCGGCAGCCGTAACACCCCCTCCCTTAAAGGGGACCTATCATGCAAAATTCACTTTTGTACCTCTTTTATACATGAATATGTGTCCCCGGTGTTCCAGGGAACTCACCAAGTGTCAGAAAACACAACCCTCTCTATTTTCCTCCATACCCAAATCTCTAAAAAAGGGGCTGCAACGGATCTGATAAAAACTGATCCAGATTTTAACACTTTCCTGACGTCAGGACAGTGATGCTACGGCTATTGGGCCAACTCCACCAATCAGGAGGAGACAGCCACGGCCATTGCCGTTCGAAAGCGTTGGAGACGCTGTAGTACATATGCCAGGCCTGTAGGTGGTGCTGTTCTCACAGAATCAGCCCTTGCAAAAACAGGGGTAAAAAAGTGCAAATTGAGCGAAATGAGGCATGGCTAAAATGCATGATCTGTTTGGTATTTTGAAAAAAAAAAGTATAAATATGCCTTATATAGATATGGTCCTACACTATATTATTAAAATATAGCATGATAGGTCCACTTTAAGGGGGGGATATAAGGAAAACACAGACACTCACCACCGAGGTCACAATATCAATCGATCCAGCAGCAGAGCAATAGCCTATAGGCAAAACAAAAAAGATCAACAAAATATATGACATAAAATGAACTTACCAAACCTGAAGTAGATGATCTACTTCATTCATTTTCTTTCCGTTTTACTGATTTTAATCACTATACGCTGCACAGTCTCCTCTTCACAACTACTATTTTCGCAGCACACATACTTATAGCCAATCAGCTCTCTGAATTATGAGATGACGTTTCTTGAGATGATCTTAAAATATATTTTACATATATTGTTTATGCATATTTTTGAATTATTATTTGCATTACTTTCTGATGACACTAGGTGGGGCTGTGCCCCTAATGACGAGTGGCCACTGGATAAAACCCATCTCAATGCCATGGAATATTGAGCCGTAGTCACAGGCTGACTGGTTGGAAAACGGCAACGCAGAAGCAACAATCACAGACTGGGACCCTCCTGTCAAAGACAAAAGGCTTGAAACATGGGTCAATCTCAGAGTCAAGGTTAGTTATTGTGACTGACTCGTCTGTAATCAAGCCAATGCCTTTTGGCTGGGGCAGATTTTGCGACTATTCTTTGCGCTTCAATGTTAAGCAATTGGCGATGACATGTCCAGGTTTGTCACACATGTACATTTATTTCAATCATTTTTTAAGCTATAAGATTTAGTAACTTGAGGTTAAATTAATTTGTCTATTTGAGATCTTACCTTGTGATGGTCCTTGCGTCTTTGCTTTACATTTTTGGCTTTCTTTTTTAAATACTGAGTTAAAAAAACAAACAAACAATTTTTAGAAAATGTCAAATACATGGAATGTGTATTTTCCTTACTCAGTTTAACTTATCTTAAATATACAAGTTGTTGTTTGGGCAATGGTCATGACTTTTAGAATATGTCATCCATACTGTTTTTTGATGTGTCTGTTGTGAGTCCACAAACGTTACGGTTGTGAAATACAAAATCAATCTGTAACCTTTAATAATGATTATGTGTTAAGCCCTAGAGCCCCCTGTACAGGGGGCAGTGGGGTGTTTTTTCACAAAACTGTGTCTCAGGGCTTCTTAATATTTAAAAACCTATTAATGTGTCATACCCATTTAACGGGAAGAAACTCAGATGTGGTAGCTGCTTTTAGCACCCCATAATACGCTTAGATGTGTTGATGGCTGCATCGTTACCAAACCTGTGAAGTTTTGGGCCATTTCGAGCATTTTCACTGAAGTTATGAGAACACCGTGTTTCATGGTGAGCATTGTGTTGCCATGGCAACGGCATTTGAAGAAATCTCAAAACTGTCGATGTCTTCACGGCTGGACTGTTAGCACACATGTGAAGTTTGAGCACTTTTTGAAAATGTTCATAGGAGTTATACATTACATTAGGAGGTTACATTACTCTCTCTCTTCTCTTGATCACCCTCTCTCTTCTCTTGATCACCCTCTCTCTTCTCTTGATCACCCTCTCAATCTTTTATCGCCCTCTCTCTCTTCTCTTGATTGCCCTCTCTCTTCTCTCTTTCTTCTCTTGCTCGCCCTCTCTCTTCTCTTGATCACCCTCTCAATCTTTTATCGCCCTCTCTCTCTTCTCTTGATCACCCTCTCACTCTTCTCTTGATCGCCATCTCTCTCTTCTCTTGATCGCCCTCTCTCTTCTCTTGATCACCCTCTCACTCTTGTATCACCCTCTCTCTCTTCTCTTGATCGCCCTCTCTCTCTTCTCTTGATCACCCTCTCACTCTTCTATCACCCTCTCTCAATTATCTTGATCGCCCTCTCTCTCTTCTCTTGATCGCCCTCTCTCTTCTCTTGATCACCCTCTCACTCTTGTATCACTCTCTTCTCTTGATCGCCCTCTCTCTCTTCTCTTGATCACCCTCTCACTCTTCTATCACCCTCTCTCTCTTCTCTTGATCGCCCTCTCTCAATTATCTTGATCGCCCTCTCTCTCTTCTCTTGATCATTCATCATCATCGGTGTGTGTCTGTGTGTGAGAGAGAGAGAGAGAGAGAGAGAGAGAGAGAGAGAGAGAGAGGGTGTTTCTCAATCGCGAGTAAAGCTGCTCCAGAGCCACTATTTCAAGCATACTACGTCATCGAGTGCCGCCAAAGTACTGTTCCAATCTCCAGCATACTTGGAAATCTACCGAGCCCGGCGTACTCCGTTTGAAGACATATCGAGGGATGAGTAGACTCCACGGTCTTAAAATCCCCACAATGCTTTGCGCACGGACCAATTTCCCCAAATCTGTGGTGGAAGATGTCAGGTGGGGCCTCTCATATGACGCACACCTGCACACTTGCTAGCCTGTTCCACTCTTTGTTTTCCGAATGGCAGGAAGTATTCTTGCCTCGCTTCTGAAGCAAGATGCTCGGCAGACATGTGCTACCAAGCAAGCGTACTCGCGATTGAGAAACACCCACAGTGTGTGTGTGTGTGTCTGTCTGTCTGTCTGTCTGTCTGTCTGTCTGTCTGTCTGTCTGTCTGTCTGTCTGTGTTAATTGTTACAGCTCAAATGCATTGTAATGACTTCCATGTTAAAAAAAGAGTTTAAAAACCTGAATATTTCAAAAAGTATAAAATATTTTTTTTAAGTTGAAGGTTTCCCATTGATTCCTGAACAGGCTGAATAGTTTACTATTTGAATGGTTTCTGTAGCTGAAAATAAGCTGAAGTTATGGAGAGCCAAAGTATTGGCTGAAATAAGTGGAAAGAATAAAGATTCAAAGAACTATAGTGGAAAGCTGTAAACAGCATTCACACTAATTAATAAGATTCAGTTCGAGGTCTAACTTTATTTTTATGTAATCATCGAACACTGTTGTTGTTGCTGGTGTTTTTGAGTTGATGAGTAGTAACTAATTTAATAAAAATCACAGTTGTATTACATACAATGCACTGTTTTTTGAGAACAAAAACTCTTAACTAATGTAATATTTACATTCTGACGAATTTAAAAAAAAATTATGAATACAAATAAAATAAAAGAAGCCTCCCGTGAGTTACTACAAGCTATAAAGTAGATTTTAAAAACGTTTCATAGAATAAAAGCTCACTGCGGGACGTTGTAGAAATGCGTGTGTGCACCACGACAAAGGAGCCTCATTCACTTTACGTTGGGGTTGTTTGCGTGGTGCCGACACATAAATGTAGCAAAGTGCGTGACTCCACCACGTACTGCGGTGTTAAGGAGTCGTGGTGGAGTCACGCATTCTGGTGAGACCAGGATGGTTTTTCATGTATTATGTAAGAATCAAACAGCTGATAGGTTGCTTTTAAATGTATTTATTCATAAAACAATATAAATGTACTGTTAAAAATGTAGGTGAACAAACCAAACCAAAAGATGAGTTGCAAATATGTGGCATAAGGTTTCTTTGTTGTCCGAAAATTGTGAAAAACCATTGCCAATATAACGCACTGTAAATTATTGTGCCTTTTATTATGTAGCTGTTCATTTGTACACCTTTCTTTGAAATCTACATCATCATTGAAGAGACTAACTCACTCTCGCTTTAGTCTCTTTATATTAATCTGAATTCCTGAGTGTCTCAAAAGTAGCAACTGGAATTGTATTATTGTGATACTGTTGACGAGAAAACGACCTGAACAACCTTAACATGTACGTACATGTACGATGCTGTTGGATGCTGCCAGTAAAAACAGATACAATTCCATTAAACCTGTTATATCACTCTGAGACAAACCACTCCAGCTTTAAAAGATATGAAAGGGTGCAGCTGCCATCCTCCCTCTTCTCACGAAATATTAAAAGACTACATATTCTATTGATGATATGTTGAATTTAATCATATTAGGAGTGTTGAAAGCTGTGAACGTAGTCGTATTTGAGAGGGAACCACTTATTGTAGCTGCACTGACTATGGTTTTCACTGCGCACAAATTATGTCAGTCAAAATACGCAAATGCAGGATGGGAGGATTACCGTACTGTTGGCCAATTATTTTAATGTCATGTTCATACAAACTGGGTTAGGGTTACATAGAGGCCTGATTCCACTAATAAACCTTTCAAAATAAAAGTCTACACAATCCGTTCTTTCCAAACAACATGCAGTCGCCACCCTAAAAAGCAGACCTGCTGATCAGGAAACTGTCATTCATGCATTTATTTTTTTATTGTATTTTTTTAAAAGCCCTGTTTATTGGAATTAGGCCAAAGATTCCTCCCTTTCGGAGGCTTGGTAAAAGTTAAACAAGGATTTTAAAAGGAATAAAAAACAACCAGATTCCACCAATCTCTGCATCCCAAACATGGCTTACAACCACCTCTAGAATTGATTTTTTCAAATGTTTTGATATCTGGTGTTATTGCAGAGCTGTAAATGTAGGGCGGATTAATCTTTAAAAGGTGTTGCAATGTATTGTGATTTTATCCTATGTTTTGTGAAGTAACTATGTGGTAGAGTATAAAGTAGAATATTATATTCCTCTGAAATGTAGTAGTGTAGATGTATGAAGTGTGAATGAAAATACTCAACTCAAGTTCAAATGTGTGCTTCAGTGCAGTACTTGAGTAAATGGACTTTGTTAATTGGATCAGTATCCATTCTGATTAATTCTCAGAAAAAAAAGCTAAATAATAGTTGAAAGAAATATGTATTCATTGTCATTTATTCATACATACAGAAACAGAAAAGTCGTCTGCAGTGACTACTATGTGGTTTAATCAGTCTAAAAAGCAAACAGTCATCCACAAAGCAAATATTTTTAAAGTACATTTGACTATCTCTACTCTGACTAGAACACAGGTAACCTGATCTGTGCCATGATGGGACGTTTTGTCTGTAATTCCTTTCTTGTCTGTGGACACATCTGAATAGGTGGAATAAAGTTATCTAGATTTACATTAGAATTAGGGGGGATTAGCTCATCGTCAGTTTATTCTAAGGATTTGGGTAAAAACCTTTGGTGGGTTTGTATGTCAGTAAAGAAGACTACATCTACAGTTAACAATTGAAGTCAAGGAACAAATAACAGAATGCCATTTTATGAAAATCAAAACTATCCACAGCATGTTCCCTTCGTGTACAGACAGCATTTTATCATGGCCCACATCTGAATGCTAACAGAGGAATGTGGTTTGATCAGATAAAAGCACACATGAAGCCATGTCCAGATTTGTGTTAACTCATAGCAACAAGCTGCAACTAGCAGTCGCTCCACTTTTGATTTGCTTTTGACAATTTACAGTAAGTTCAATTATTTGAGTTTTTATGGATTTCTTTGCCTCGTTTTTTTCTAACAAAAACAACCAAAAGACAAGTATAGAGTATTATTAATGGAAATGATTCTCTTTCAGAGTCAAACAGAATTGTTATCTTGGGGAAAACTGGAGTTGGGAAAAGCGGCGTGGCTAACACCATATTTGGAGAAAAAGTGTTCAAAGCAATCAGTTCTACCAAATCAGGAACAAGTACATGTCAAGCAGAAACCAGATATGTCCATGGAAGAAGCATCACTCTGGTCGACACTCCTGGTTTCTTCGACACATATACATCAGAGGAGAAGCTGAAGTCGGAGATAATAAGGTGTATCATAGAGTGCGCTCCTGGGCCCAATGCTTTTCTCATTGTATTTAAAGTGCGTCGATTCACAGAGCAAGAACAGGCTGTCATCACAAAAATAAGTCAATACTTTTTTGAAGAAGTCTTCAAATACGCAACAGTTCTCTTCACTCATGGTGACCAGCTCGATAAAGGACAGACAATTAAGCAGTTTGTCCAGCAGAACCAGCTTGCGAGGGATCTTGTGAAGAAGTGCGGAGGCCGCTGCCACGTCATAGATAATAGATACTGGGAGAACAACCAGCAGGATGAATACAGGAGCAACCAGTTCCAGGTGAAGGAGCTACTCAACACAATAGATGAGATGGTAAAGGCAAACAAAGGAAGCTACTACACCAATGAGATGCTACAAGGCTAAGCAGTGGAGGAACAAATACAAAAAGAGGTGGAGCTCATTTGACAGTCATCAGGAAACACGTCACAGGAAGAAGTCAGAAAGCAAGCTAAAGACGGAGTGTTTAAAAGGCTTAAGATCAATCTGACTCTAAGGACAAGAAATGAATGCATCACCAAGTATCACATCTCTATTGATATCGTATAGAAATCTTAATCAATACGCTGATCATTTGTATTCATAAGCTTGACTTTGTTGTCTGAACTTCAAGCTTAATTCAATTATTCCCTTTTCAGGAACTTTACTCACATTAACTTTAGATTTGATATTGTACATACATTCCCAATTTCATAACCACATAATTCAAAATCAGTTTAAACATCATTCATTAATAAGATTCAGTTAGAGGTCATGTAAAGTAACTTTCTTTTTAATGTAATCATCAAACACTGTTGTTGTTGCTGTATTTCTGTCTCCTGTTGAAACTTTGCTTACTGTTTTCACACACACACATATACACACACACACACACATATACACACACACACACACATATACACACACACACACACACACACACACACACACACACACACACACACACACACACACACACACACACACACACACATTAGTTTACTATGCATATTGTCTGGTGTGCCCTCTTTACTTTCTGATTCATTCAAACAACATCTTGTGGCTTCAGAAATCAGTTTCCTCTCTCTTTTTTCTCTCTGCCGGTTATTTTTATATTTGATTACTTCCCTCTGTACCCCTGCACCAGGACGGAACGTAACACACATGATACACATTTTTCTCTAGTAATAGATAGATGAATGGTTTCCCTTTTCTATGCTCAAGAAAAGGTGAGAGAAAAAGACTAACTCTCTATAAACACTTTAAATAATGCAGTTGCATCAACTGCCCACTAGAAGGCGGTATATTCTAGCGGTTTGAGTTGTGTGTCAGTGAATAACATTACATTTAAAAATGTTAAAACTGTAACCCAATAAACAAATAACAGAATGCCATTTTATGATTTCACACATTCCAAAAGACTGTAATTGAAATGTAAGCTAATAGAAGGAACAAATTGATTAGATATGAGTTTTGATAATGCAAAACTCATATCTAATCTATCCACAGAATGTTCCTTTCGTGTACAGATCACAACCTATCATTGCCCACATGTGACTGCTTTTAGGGAAGCGTTATTAAGAGAAGCCACTGCAATAGCATTGACAGCAGTTACATAAGTCTTCTGTGGTCAACACAAATGTCTAAATCATTCAGACCAGACAATGGAGCTAGGTGATAAGATATGTGCAGATATTGTGCAATGTCAGGGTTTTACCTCTGATATAAATGTATCTGAGCTAGATGTGAGTGCAACAAAAGTGTAACTTGAAAATGTTTTGAAAATACGGGTATGTCTTTGAAACAGTGTCTTGTTGGAAATTAGTAATCTCAGACATGCAGGCTTTGGTTTCTGATGAGGAAGTCTCATGTCAAATGTATAAATAAGAATAAATACACTGATAAGAATACATACAACAAATACAGTATATGCAGCAGTAATGTGCAAGGATGAATGCGGTAGCGGGAGTAGCAGTGGGGGTTGAAGTAGTAGGCATAGTTTTGAGGAAAGGACAAGATATAGCCAGGTTTGCAGCAGGAACAGCTGTAGCTACATCAAGCACACTTACAGGCATAGCCGTGGGAACATGTTTCAAATGGGGGGTGCTGTGGGGATGACACCAGGGCTGTACACCTGAATATATACACAATATTTAAAGTAATTCAGCCACTTCAGGGGACCACATCAGTTAGCATCAGAAATAAAAAGGCAAAAGCATTAAAAACTACCATTTATCAAAGTATTTTACTTAGAAAAGCTGCAGTGTGACCATGAGTGTGACCCACATACTTTAAGAGTCATGTTTACAGAGTCAATGTTACCCAACACAAAGGTTCCTGTTGAGCTACACCTCCCATTTTGGTCCCATCTGCCAAATATTGAAAAATAACCCAATAACCTACATAGATTTATTGTTTTATTCCGGGATGGTGAAACTTTAGAAGATCCAATACTGGACGAATACGTAGATTATATTTCCCACTCATGGATTTACGCATCCATAGCCGTGGGAACATGTTTCAAATGGGGGGTACTGTGGGGATGACACCAGGGCTGGTTCTGACCAATTTGCTAACCAAGGCAAGATTTTAGCTGGCAATGAAAAACCTCTACAAAAGACAAATACACCACAAAAAGATAAACGTATTGACATGGTGGACAGCTTATATAAAAAGGCTTCAAATGCATTTAGTATTGTATGAACATATTTTAATTGGGGGGTGGACATCACATCCTCTAGGGGGGTCAGGGATATGCCTCCCCAGGAAGATTTGTTTTAACATTTTAAAGTAGAATGCTTCAACCTGGTGCACTTTGAGCGCCCAATTACTAGAGACCTGACCTAGGGGTACAACTTTAAACACCCATATGAAAAAGATCGTTTTTCATTTTAATAATCAAATAAGTATGTGAACATAACCAATAACCTACCACAGCCAATAACAAATAAATGTAACTTATTTTATTTTTGTTCTTCATTCATATCTTATTTTACCTAGTTAACATTTATTTATGGATATTTTTTAATCTCTCCAGTTTTAAATGATATTTTTGGTTTTACTGTCCTATAGAATACATTGGAATGATTTCAAACCTGTTTTTATTTATCCTAATAATTATAAAGGAGTGCCTTGGAAATATTTGTTTACATAAATTGTGATCAAACCGGTGGATAGAGCTCATCGAGAGAGATCTATGCGTAGATCATCAATCGATAGAGCTATCTCTATCAGCTAATCTCTCTCTCGCTCTCTTCTCTCTCTCTCCTCTCTCTCCTCTCTCTCTCTCTCTCTCTCTCTCTCTCTCTCTCTCTCTCTCTCTCTCTCTCTCTCTCTCTCTCTCTCTCGGCTGCGGGCGCCTGATAAGCCAACATCCCCCACTTTCATCACTTACATCGTACAGGGCAAATGGAAATGTAACCGGGGTGAAAAGGGTGTTATCTTTACTTAATTATGAATGTTGTTACATCAAGGCTGATCATTTGTGTTTTTTGTGTTATATTTGTATTATATTTCCATTTAATCTTGTGGACGTGCAGATTCCCTGTCCTCCATCAGGGGGTGCTGCAGCACCCTCAGCACCCCTACTTCCCAGGCCCTGCTTACAGGGGCAACTGCTTTTGTGGGAGCTGGGATGGGGGGTGTTGCAGGACTTGGTGCAGCTAAGGGGGCAGAAACTCCACAGGAAGCAGTAGAGAGGGCTGTTACAGAGGTAGCACTCTCTGTCTTAGATAAAGCACAAGGTGTTTTAAAACAGAGGCCAAATGTAACATAATCTTCTGAATAAAAGGAAGAGAATGTATGAACAAAGATCCTTCTGCAGACTTCAAGATAATCTTCCTATTTATACGTAAAAAGGTCTACTTCTTGTCTGAGCTTCAAACCTAGGTCACTTGTTTCTGTTTCAAATACATTTTCCAAACTTAAGGTACGGACATAAAGTTTTAAACAAATGTGATACAATCATGACCCCGTGGACTGAACCTGTTTATATTTTATGATCATTTGAAAACTATTTTGATATTGTTCATACTGGATATATGGATTTACAAGGTTCTGTTCATTTTTATTGGCACAATTCCATATTTGTTCTGCAACTACTGCACAGCAACTCCCCCTAGAGATAAATACAAAGTTATACTATAAGTATATAAGTTATATTATTGTGGTCATTTAACATCTTGCCAAGGACAACAGTTGAAAATTAGCCTGCTGGCTAATACTGGCTCATTTACAGCAATGTGGATTAATGTGCACTGTCCTTTTAAATAAATAAACAAACAAAATACACGGTTATGTATTAAATCTTTGATGTATGCAAAGTATTATTTGATAAAGGTTGTGTTTCTTTGTGGATTACATTGTATCAGCAAAACAACTATAACATTGAATAAACAGAATGCTATGAAAACAAGTTCAGCAAATAAAGTTGTATTTGGTTATTTCCCCCCACCACACATATGCAAGAACTGTAAGTGAAACTAGAATGAAACCTGCGTGAGAGCAAAGGGGAATAGACAGACATGATGTCTGTTACATGTGAAGCTGTTTTCTCTTCTCCAGATCATGGACAGTAAGTTTAGATTACTTCCTTCAGTTTCTTTTGTTGTTAACACTGCTCACTGTACAATACTCTGTCATATGACATCTATCTGAGAAGACTAATGATGAATGATGAGTGTTGTCTGATGCTATAACAAATCTATTAAAGTAAAAAAAAAAAAGGTAACGTTTATTTTTGTATTCTCAAGAGAGCGTGAAATAAATGCGACAAAACAGAACTGGAAAATGTGTTCAACCAAAAAGACCAAGCATGTGACGCAGAATGTTTTTCGAAGAGAGGAAACCACATCCTGCTTCGAACTCCGGTTTGAGACTGAGATAATTGTTCGTTGTGTTTCTGTGGTAAAGCTAAACCAGGGGTCTGCAACCTTTTTGACCAAAAGAGCCATTTTGTTCTTTTTTCCAAAACATTTTTTTGTCTGGAGCCGCAAAACATATTTCATAGTTTTTTATTGTTATATCAGACAAAAACTACAGTTTTTTTTGCATTTATTAGGCTATTTATTACATGATATAAAACTGTTAACCTCTAATAAGAAACAAAGAACTCTTATAAAGAGAATTAAAAATAATACACAGGCCTACTTTAAAATAAATTAAACACAGCACTGGAGAGTCCTCTGCACATTTGAAGGAAAAAAATATTATTAAAATGGGCCCACTTTGAAATAAATAAAACATATAGCTGCACCCTAAACAGAGTTAAAGGTAGGGTAGGTAAGAATCGTAAGAATGGAGAAACCAGCTCGAGTGCGCTAGAATTTGAAAGTACACAACCGGAAAAAATATGCCTCTTCCTTCAGACTTTCTTACAGAGTCCCTCCTCCAACACACGCGAACGCGCACATGACCAATGAGGGCACGAGATCAGTTTGTGCACAGATGGAAGGCTGACAGGCAGGTAGGCCATCCAGTTACTTTAGCCGGGCCGGCTCAGATGATTGGTCGTGCTTTTTACAGTACTACGGCTTCCAGAGATTAATTTTTGTATTTATTGTCAAAGCATTTAATATATTCATTGCTATCGGGACGTTAAGAGCATTCCATGGAATATAACAATAAGTGTTTTCTGAAATAAATTACATACCCCATTGAATTATGTCTGAAGATCGTCAGCTGTCTTCCTCTCCCGTGTTGTTCCTCGATACGTAAAGGCTGCACCACCGTTGACAACTTCTCTCTACATATCAAACATACCGGTAAACCAGCATCGTTTGCTGTGAAAGCATATAACTCTGTCCACACAGAATTAAATCCTGTGTTCCTCCGGTACTTTTCTTTGATTTATTCATAGTTCGCTCATCGAGCCGGGGGTCAGGTTATTCGCCTGCAAGAAAAGGCGCTCGCGCGTGACCGTAGCAGGATGTGACGCATATTTTAGTTGACCTAATTAAAACCGTTTTGTTTTTTATTTATGTGTCACAGTATCACCTCAAAATACAAGAATACGAAACATTTTCAACCATGCAATACAATATAAATAGTCCTACAAATACTTTTATTTTATTTCCTTCTTATTTTTGTCTAAGCTCAAGGGAAGCCAGAGCAGAGGGCTTAAAGGGCCGCATGCGGCCCGTGGGCCGCGGGTTGCC